TTGCCTTTTCACTGGGGAGCAGCCTCTCAAATAAGGAGCAAAAGTTTCCAACTTTTGGGCAGGATTGTGCTCAACTTCAGGTCAGGGTAGAATGTACCCATGGGACTATATAGGAACATGTAATGGTTCTCCATCTGAGAATGCTGCTTTTTCTCAATCCTTTCCAAGGCAGCCAACTCCTGCCCTGCTCTGCTAATGGAGACTGTTGTAGGCAACAAGATTGAAGAGTTATGTCTTCTGGCATAGAATGGAATTCTTCCTGGAATTCTAGCCTACCTACAGTGAAGGACCAGTACAGAGCAAGAGAGGGAAGCTATTATGAAGCTATTATGTAGCATACTTCACATGAGCAATAGCTATGTCATTAGTAATCTAAGAAATTATGGTATACAAATGTAAAAAAAATACATTAGGGCTATATGTACAACCATGTGCATAAGGCAACATTAGTATGAAAAATCTCTCTTTTGGATGTCATTCCATCCTATTTCACCCTGTAGCTGTACAGAACAAAACAGTTTTGATACCCATAGTGCCTCTCCATCAAAGAGCAAGCAGACATATTTTAGATAGATCTCCCTGGCATAGCTCTGGGAAGCAGGAAAATACCACCTCTGAGCAAACAGTATTCCTTCCTCTGCCTCAGATCTTTTTATTGTTCCCAGTGGGACAATAGGGATACTGCCCCAAATCATCAGCTCCAGTCCTGTTCTCATCCCTTCCCGTTGGACCTTTCAGGGAATTTGGCCAGCTGCACTCATTAACCTTAACATTTATCAGGCCTCAGAAAAGCTACAAATGTGTTAAAGCTTGGTGCAACACAGTCCTGAATTACATTCCATATTGCAACTAGGAAGAAATGTAAAATAAGCAATATAATTTTATGCTGTTCATGGCCCACAAATTACAGGAGGAGGAATAACATAAAGAATAATTTGTGTCCAAGATTTCGGTTTTGGGTGTAAAGAGAAAACAATAATTGGTGTGAATCTCAAATGCAGATCAGTTGGCATAGTTTTATTTTAAAATTATAAATACTTTCAGATCCAAGTGCAATTAGTAGTGAAAACGTCACAGTTTTACTGTGTATGTTTGTTAAAATGGCTGGCATAACTCACTTAGGAGATGCTTTCAGTATAGAGTCCTGTACTACATATATTATAACCAAAAATGCAGTACTTACACGTATATATAAAATGTACACAGAGACAACATTGCCAAACAGCCTTTTGGGACAGTTTAAAAGAATATCATTAATTTTTACTGTATACTTACTCTTCTGGCTCAGTTCCAGCACTGGCTTTCTGTAAAAATCATTTCAAGTATAGAATTATGCTATTTGCTTGCAGCAACATCACAGGAACAGTAGTGAGCCATATGTTGCTACTTAGCAACTTGGTCTGTAAGTCCCAAAGCATGTACTGATTTGAAAATTGAACAGAAATGATAATTATTGTTGAGGGATGCTGTGAGGCAACTTGTCTTGGATTACCAAACTATGCAGATGTTTGATGTTATATAGCAAAAGGAACAAAACTACATTTTTCCTGTCCGAAGAGAGCCAAGTGGAAACCCCTTGGTCCTTGGTGTTGCATGCCATGACTCAGTCTGCCAACCCACTTCCCAAATAAGCTATGTCAGACTCTGAAATTAGAAAATGATGCTCGTGTCTGACTCAGTCAGCATGACCAGAGCTTGAATAGAGGTTTCTGATAGGACTATATATCTCTTTACATGTGGGATTCATATTCTAGTTAACAGATATTAATTCATCAAGAAAAGCAGAGTAACTAATTCACTCTTCATTCTGACAGGATTCAACCCCTATCTCTGAACTTGTGAGGGAACAGCCAAGTTATTAAGGGGAAGGAGCCTGCATTCCTCTCACTGAGGTCATGCAATGGCAAGACTCATGAGCACAGGTGCAAAATAGACATAGAATAAAATTATGATTAGAGCAACTATGCTTTCATCTGAGAGAGAACATTTCCTCCTCTCTTTTTATGGCATTATGTGTTTTACATCCAGTAACAGTGACAGGAAAATTAACAAACAGTCCTAAAACCATGGTCAGAAAATACAATTGAATCCTATACTCTCCCTAGCCCTGTAAGCTACAGTCTTTCATGCTTTGTTTTCAGAGCAGGAAATACTGTATTTTTTTTTCCAGTTTTAACCACCAGACTGGATCTTGAAATGGTAGTCAGTTCATCAGTTTTGGCTGACCATCAAATGCTTATGCCCAAGAAAAGAACACCACTCCATGACAGTCAGTGAAAACCTCACAGACACTCAATGAAGAGCTGTTTAGCTCCTTTGAGGAATGACTAGCAGCTGTCTATGTCAGGAACAGGTTTGGGAAGGCTTCTCTCACAGTCACAGTTTCTCGATGAAACATGAGAGGCAGGTTTCCATCACACCCCATATTCCTGTTCTCCGTGAAGTTGTTTTGTCTCCTTTTATTTTTTTTTTAATATTTTTTCCAGTGCTGTTATTATTACAGGCTTTCACATATGCTCCAGCCCACACAGAGCTGGAACACCTTTTCTGTGAAGGCAGGAAGGCAGGCTAAAAATGCTGGGGTTGTTCAGCTTGGAAAAGAGAAGGCTCCAGGGAGATCTTAGAGCAGCTTTCTAGTACCTAAAGGGAGCCAACAAGAAAGATGCAGAGAAACTTTTTATAATGGCCTGCAGTGACAGGTCAAGGAGGAATGGCCTGAAGCTGAAGGAGGACAGGCATAGATTAGACATTAGGAAGAAGTTCTTTTTAAGGTCCATTCTAACCCAGTCTGTTCTATGATTCTGTGTATTCACTTCAAACCACTGCGACAGCGAAAGCACCAGGAGAAAATCCCAGCAAGGGAAAGGAAGTTGTGACAGCCCAAGGCTGACAGCTACTCTCAACCAGACACAGAAGGCTGCTTGACTGGTGCACTCTTGGTAACAAGTTAAAACACTCTGCCTGAGCTGCTTCTTGCTACATGGATACCCCAGCAAAGGACAGAGAGGTTGCTTTTGGGTTTTGAACTCTACCTTGTAGCCAACACCCCGGAGTTCAGCTTTGCCATGGTCAGATTTTAAGTCTGTAAGCCTGTCCTTGGTTCCAGCCCTTCGTAAGAAATCAGGGTTTTCTGACATCTTTGAATTTGGAAATGTCACATTTGATAGATTTATTTTTTTTCCCTTGAAGACAAAGTCATTTGCATTTAAAATACCTAGACCTGGCTCTTTAAAGGTACTTTAAGAACCTTACTTTCACTGCAATCAGCGAGTGTTAGATGCATAAATATATCTGAGAATCTGGGCCTTGTTAGCACATGCAGAAACCGCATAAAAGATTAAAACTTATACTCTTAATTTTTCAATATGCCATTTAAATTATTTAAGCTACATGCATACACAGTACAAAAATATCAACAGAAGAAAAATAATTCTGATGTATAATGTGGATTTGCAATTCTTTATTCAAAACTATTTAAGACAGACATAATGGTTCTCTGAAAGGTAGCAGCTGCCTGATAACAGCAATCATTCACAGAGTTTGTATTTCTACTGTTTCAAACAAATTCAATTAGCCCTTGCACTTCAAAACCCTTAAGGCAAAAATGAGATGATACTAGGCTGCTTTAATCTAATAGTAATACTAAAACTTGTCAGTACAGTTTTTGGATTAATGGTTAGAGAAAAATTAATAATATAATTTTTCATTTTTTAATCAAACAGTTCTATTCTAAACTACCTCTGGATCTTGGAGGGTTCTTAGCTGAATGAGTTCAATCATGCACAATTCCTAAATGCAAAGTACTATTGGTCTCTAAAGGTATTTCAGAGTGACTTCAACAGAAAGCTGGGAAGTAACATGGTGGAACACTTTAAAGATGGTGTTTTTGATTGAACAATGTACTCATTTTACACAAACCTCCTGCTTCCCTGCCCCCAATGAACCTGTCTACCTGAAGAACACTACTTCATGAAGACATTTAGTTTTGAATGCATACTTTCGAAAACTGTTGATTCCTAAGTTACATCCAGCTTATCTGAACACAATTACTATGCCTGCAAACTTATTTCCCACCTAATGAGAGTTTTACACATAAGCCTCCTGGTTTTGTCAAACCAGACACTGCTGGGCTGAAATATTGCATGACACAGACCACAAGTCTGGTTATTCATGGCAATTTCTGACACAATCTAACTGATCTGCAGCACTGTCCCCACCACTTACTGGTGCAAAGTTAAACTGAAACACGTGAAGTAAATGAGAAATTCCTCCCTACATACAGATGTAGCAACAGGTAGACATCCCAAAACTTTCAAAACTATTTTTGCTTTTTAAGATGTAATTAAAATTTTTAATTCTTAGAAATCTATAGGACCTTTGGGTTCAAGGGGAAAGGTGGAAGATTTTTAAATATACAACCAGTATCCTAATTTAGTGTGTATGGTTGCCCAAAAGGAAAAAAGGTCAAAAATACCTTTAAAGAATGCACATCATATTAAACCTTTTGGCCTGTAAGCTACAGAAGGCTAAGACATTGCTTTAACCCCACTGCTAATTGTGTAATAATAGCAACATTCCTTAGACATAGGATTAGTGTTAAAAGTGCAATTTTTCAACTGCTCTACGAGTGATAATTAAAGCTATTTGTGACATGTATAGCTTATAATGATTAACTTGTCTGCAGTCAGATAAACAAATAACCTGCACCTGTAAAGACTTTATTTCCTGAAGGTAAAACAACTGTTTAGGAAAGATCATGCTGGCAAAACAGCTGCTTGCATTCTGGAGAGGAAACAAGGTAGTATCTTTCAACAAACGCCAACTCTGGTGTTTTATCAGCTCTATCTCATTAACTGGAAACAAGGCTTAAATGCTTTGTTTATAAATTATGATTATTCCTGATTGCAGCAGTTACTGATAGTGCCACTCATTTGCAATGCAACTCTTTGAATTTTTTTAATTACAATTTGAAACAAGGCAGAGAAGATTAATTAACCCACCTGGCTGGCTGGCACGTAGTCCTGGCTTGGTTCTGTCATACTCATATACATGTTCTCACCGTCAAACTGCAAAGGAAATAATAGTAAACATTCAGCAAACTTGATTTTTTAGCATTGACTGAAAAAAAAACAGTTGCTATAAAATAATATTACAGCCTGGTTTTAGAGACTTGTAATTGCATGTGTGCATCTTGTCTTTGATGTTCCTGTTGTCATCCTTATTGACCCTGGATGTCAGTGATTTGGAGTAATTAGCGCTCTAGTAATTACAGCTAGCAAGGAAGAAATGAATGGTTTCCTTTCATCTGCAATCTGTTTTAAAACAAAATGCCTCATTTTGTGCACCATGTACACATATTGCTGTTGGTTGCAATGAAGTACTAAGTGAATTGCACACTTACTGAGAAGGAAGATGAGAATAGAATCTGCACTAAAATGCATCTTAATGGGTTCCAACTTTAGCTTCTGAGCAGAACAAGAGTTGAAATTTCAAAACAAATTAAATCCCCTCCAATTGAACTGTTCCCGTATCAGAAAGTAGGAAATACATTTCCAGACAGCTTTCAGACATCTGAACGTATGAAAGAGTATACCTCCCATCCGTATGGTGTAAGAGGATAGTTTGCTTGATGTGTGAATAAAGTAAACATTCATAATCAGAACTGCAAAAATAACCATCTGTAAATGATAAAAACCATTCCTGGAAATATATACAAGATATAAAAAGCTTCTTTCCTTTTTTTTTTTTTTTCCTTTCTTTTTTCTTTCTCTTCTCTCAACTGCAGTTAAGAAGTAACGGAAATGTCATAGAAAGGAGTTGATTAAAATCTGAAGGTCTAGATGGAGAAAAACTGTCAGATCTGAAGCCTCATCCTGTACCAGCACAAAGTGTAAAACTACTGATTTCTTACATAGTCTGGAAAATGTCCCCACAGAACTCTCATCACACCCACTCAAGTGGCAGTGCCAACAGGGCGATGATAGTCCCAGAGTCTGCTCAGGAGCTAGGAAAAATCTTTTCAAACCTTTTAAGTAGAAGTGAACAACAGCAGGAATTCCTATCTCCAGTCATCAACCACAAATTTCCAGCTGTTACAAGGTCTGTTTGAAATAACTTGCACCTGACCCCTTGTGTGAATGCTTAGAGTGACATATTTTGGACATCAGCCATTGTTGCGGATGACGCAGCAGCTTTTTTAAGAAGTCCCTACTACTGAGATCTCTCTGCTCCTACAGAAGATGCCCATGAAATATCCCATGGGCATTTCTTGATCAGCACTGAGCTTCTGGGAATATTCCACCTGCAAGGTGCAGCATATTCACTAGCCTGAGGTGGTAAAGTTAAACTGGCTTTGGCAGATAGCTCTACCAATTTTTGCTGAGGTGGCTGAAAAGGTTCCGGCTTCCAGCTGTTCATCCTTTCTCTGCCAGAGGCTACAAGGCTTGTAACAGCAGCAGTAACATGAACACGTGCCAGCTCCTGGCACAGCAGCTGATGGTCTGCCCTTCCTGGCCAGAGCTATTTAATAGTCACAGACTATCTGTCAGAAGTCCTAGTTTTACGGGAGGGAAAGGATTATGCCACAGACACAGATGTGTCATAGGAAATAGAGTATTTCCAAACTGGGACAGAATAGAGATAGTTAGATTAGATTATAAAATATAATTTGATGCTTGTTTCTTTTTTATTTCTTGTTGACAAGTACCATTTCTTTTAGCTTCCTCATTGAATAATTTTCTTATTTATAAGCATTCAAAGTAGAGTTTTGGAGAAAAAGTTTTAGTATCTGGATCGGGAAAAAAAATGCAGTTTCTTCTACTCAGATGGACAGGTGGAATTCTGAAGAGAAATTTCACAGCCAGTAGCTGAAAAGCAAGCACTCCAGTGCAAGGCCTACAGGAGCTCAGCTTATTCAGCTTGTCAGACGAAAGGCTGAAAGGTGCCTTGATCACTGTGATTGGTACTTACACCCTGGAAAGACGTCTGATAGCAAGATGTCAGCCACCCTGACAGTGGTATAATGAGATCTAGTGTTAAGAAATGGGAGTTACAGAAATTCAGCCCTGAAATAAGATACAAGTTCCTACTTTAGGAGGTAATTAAGCATTATGTCAACAGCAAACTCATCATTTCTCAGACATTTTAGAATGAGGTTTGATATCTTTTTCAGAACAGATGCAATCCGTACCATATTTGTAAGAAATCCTATGGAGAGAATAGTTACACTTGTGGTTATGGGAGTCCTATATGCCCTGGAAACCATCATTCCTTGAGTCTCCTCTTTTGAATTTCCCTCGTTATCTTCATACATTTGTTGTGATACATTGCAAGCTTTGCTATCATTCAAATACTGTGTTGCATGTGTTTAGTTGCAGTGAATATGAAGAAATTTCTTTTCTGCTTGCTGGCTAGATGCAGTCAAGGATTATTTCAACTTATTTTGCCTTCCATAATGCATGAGACTATGATTTAAGAATCTTTATGAAGTATACTAGTCTTTCATATAATTCCCTCTTTTGAATGTTTGGTCGTCTGTCCTTGCTCCCAAGCTTACAATCACCAAATCTGCATTCTTTGAATAATTTCCCTAAGGTATTTTTCCATGAATACTGAAAATTTTATAATTCTGTGTGTTGTTCTTGGATTATCTGCCTACCTAATCAGTGCCTTGCTATTAGTGGTCCCCCTGGCATGACAGGATATTTGATCTCAGCCTCTCCTGTTTGTTGCTTGTGGCCCTCTATTTATCTTGGAAATATATTTTTTTTTTTTTCCTGTCATGGTCTGTGGGCTTTATGTGTGCACATTTCAGAGAAACCAAAACAGAAAAAATATACATAAATTTAAACTTTATGGCCTTTTGACCTTACATGAGAAATGTAAGGGGATTGATGTTTACATGAGAAAAGACCTTCTGCAACATTTTGGATTAATTTGTTAGGGCAAATTTTCAGAAAAATATATCAATGCATAGTGTTTGTAAAATCTGAGTGGCCTGTTAACATCTGAAAATAACCAGCAGCTGTCTGATTTGTTACTTAATTTCTTCAATATTCAAGAATGCAATATTTAGCATCTGCTTGTCAGAAGTATGTGCAAGATGTTGTGTAATAGGTTATATAGGTCAGCAAGATTTGATGGGATGTGTATTTTCTGTAGTGTTTATATATGCAGATTGTGGACTGCGATGCATCAGCTGACAATAACACTCTTGCCACGTTAGTATTTGTACTACATTTATGGCTGTTTAAATTATCTGCCCTCAGCCCAGTGCAGTGTGGTGCATGGCTACTTGGCAGCTCCTAAGACTTTGGATATGAGCCTGAAAAACACCCATAAACTCAAAGGATGAAGAATATACACATGCATTTTGTACAGCAGGTATTGCCTCCTTCACGTTCTCAATGTTTACTAAAATGTTTATAAAAGACTGAAAATATAATGTTTGTATACCAGAATAAAACAAAATATTTACTGCAATGCTGATTTGCTTATTCATCGTTCCCTTTCCCAAATACCAAAACAGTGTGAAATAGAAATGACCTGTACATCCTACCCCAGCCAAAAAGAGTACACAAGCCTTCAACAATAAAAAGTTTAGAAAAAATTATGTAGCAGATACAATGTTCACCTTGCCCAAACATGATAATCGCACATCAAAACAGTAAACTGAGGAAAAAATGCCAACAATTGGATCAACTGGAAAATTCTATTCATATTTTTTCCCATCCATTTAGAAGCTTCCAAATATACCCCTAAACCCCAGAAATTAATATTGAATTATTTGACTTTTAATAAACTGCTTGGTAACGTTCAGGCTCTGCAGCATGGCACCTCTCAACAACTCTCCACCTGGACTCCTTAATTCATGCTATATCCACCTGGAATTCAGCTTTACAAGTAAGATGATGTATGCCACAGCAGGTCAAGCAACATATATGGACCAGAGTGAGTCTAAAGAGGAGCAGATACAGCTCAAAGCTGTCTTCAGCTACCACAGTTTTCTTCCAGGTTATACTCTATGCCTCCAAAATTATCTTCTTATACTCATCATTCTCAGGTTCGCAATCTCAGCTTGTATTCCCTAAGCTTTCCTGCCACTCACTGAGCTTGATTTCAAGAAGGAAACTGCACAAGCATCACTTAACCCATGGATGATTCATCCCAACAGAACAGATGAAACACAAAGGCAGGCAGTTAAATGAACTCTCTTTTATGAACCTATGTATGATGTATATATATCAGATGACATTTCATATAAAGCTTTCCCAATGTGTCTCCAAGATCTCTTAGTATCATTAAGAGCAGATTTCAAAATCTTTCATTTTAATCTATTAAATGTGAATGCTAATACAATATTCTGGTGTGTGATAATAACTACTCTTGACAACATTTCTTTTCAAATTAAAGTGTAACTGCATGAGAAGTTTGGGTGAGAGCAAATGAAGAATATGACTGTATTGTAATATGAAAAGAAATATAACTGTGAGCTAGTTCTAATATAAATTCAGGATTGCATAATATTCTTTATTTAAATTATTATTATAAATAAAAGATACAGGCAACACTATGGCATGGCCAGTTAGAAGCCCCCTCAGAATGACCCTTTGTAAGACAAGTTGTAATGTTCAACAACCAATATGCACAAAATACCCAACTGTTATTAAATACAATTTATTCACAGAAGTTAGGGATGAAATTACATAAACACTGGCTGACTGTAACATGCAATAGGTATCACAGATTCTAGCAAATACCCAGAGTGCTAAAGCTGTTTTAATGTATCCAAGGCTGACTTCTGCCTGCCATTAACGTGGCATCATACCAGAGTCACACAATGTATGGCCAGGAAGCCTGTTTTCATCTTCCCATTTAAGTTGCAAAAAACTTTATCAGCATTTATAACAGTGATTATGAAGTAACAAAGCTTGCAAGAACAGTATTTTTAAATTCATTCTTGATGTGCTTTAAATGAAAAACACCCTATGTGGACTATGTCACAAGAATACTATAAACAGGTTGAACAGACGAACATGTTTCTCATGGTGGCAACAATTGTAGAGAATGTTAATTGCTTACATAGACAGAAAACTTTGGAATACAAAAAGGAGGCTGCAAGATGCAGAAAACACAAGAAGGGCTTGAGAGCCAAAAAGGTAACTGGAAATAAAATATATTTCTGTACTGGTAACTGTATGTCCACATACAGCGATTATAAATGCAGATGAATAACTGCATAAGCTTCATGTAGTTTGTTCAGATGACAGCTACCACAAAGACACACGTTAAACAAGTTTCAGCCTAGCTTCATGTTCTCCCCTCCACTTAAGCTACCTTCTTTTATACCAAGTCACTCGGTTTTCATTGCCAGGATCAGCTGGGCTATCTGGATTACAGGGAGAATGACATTTCTCCCCTCTACCTCTATCTTCTTGCTATGTAGCATTTCTTTGCTGTTGTGAAATGAGGGTTTATTTTGCTCCTTTTTCATCCATTTTTTGACTTTTGAGGGTATTGCATAGTGGCTTTCTCTTTTGATGCATACATACATACATACATACATACATACATACATTAATATATTTATATCTGAATATATTTATATATTTATGTAAGTTTGCCCTAAGTTCTTCGGGCACAGTTTTATGAGTTATGTGAAAGAAAAAAAATCAAGCACATGAATGTTTGAGCTTTTTCCTGTTTATACTGAGGAGCAGTACAATGTGACAGTACTGCCTCTCATCCAGCTGCAGTGTGGGCAGGGAAGCACAAGGAATATGAGTCCAAATGGCTTTTGATGCCAAAACATGCTTGGGACAGGGATGTGGAGGGGGGAAACAACTTTGGACGATGTTCTGTGCACAAATATATCCTAAGAATGATATCCTAAAATGTAAAGATTAAAGGACAAGAAGCAAGGGGAGAGATGATGATATTGGTGAAAGGTGCTATGCTTAATAAGTTCATCTTCTGGGTAAAGCCATTTGGACTTGACATTCCAGTTTCTTCAAAGGATATTACAAATCTTCAAAGCCTGTGTTATTAATCACATAATCTAAATACAAATTTCTCCCATCTTAGATTTGAACTGAAAGATAGATTTAGGTTTAAATATAAACTTTATTTATATCATTAAACCATAGTTTACCTTACTCCGATGGTGCCCCAGCACAGTTTGTTATGTTTCATTTTAAGAAGTTGCAATAACATTGTGTAAAATGATTATTTCTAGTGATTTAGTGATTTTACTGCTTACAGATTATATATATCAATTGTAACTTACATTATCTAAAAGCCACTAATCCTGAAAAATCTTTAAAACTGGGTAATTTTGTTTATTTTAAACCAAATGCCAAGAGTAGATATTGTCTCATGTTTCTTGATGACAAAACACGATATTTTGTTTTACTCAGAGC